ATGATAGTAGAAGATTAAGAAGATTAAAGGAAACAGAACGAGAACAGAGAATGAAGAAACAATAAAGACTGAAACAATAAATGAACATTTTGCAAATCAAGCATTAAACATATGGTTTTCATATTTTTCTTTTCCAAATAACTCTGTAATTTCGTGTTAGAGTAGGCTCAGTCATTCCCAGCGGTGATTCTGTTCATTACAACTACATAAAGGTTTTCTATGATAAAATATCGACATGTCATCATATTTGTGTGTGGGCTGTGATACTGACCGGGTGCCCAGACCGAAGCAGGTCTTTTTCTTAGAGGGCCACACCCCGAGCCTTTGACGTAAAGGCCTAACCCACAAGGCAGTGGAGCATCGTAAGGAGATGAATTCCCATGGTAGTCAGTGACCAACAATAGCTTCATACGCCATATGTTCCTTCAGGATACTGGAGCCCATGTGCACAAATGGTTTGGGATTCGGTTAAAGCGCCTGACATTCGCCTTTCGTCCTCTCATTTTCGTAAACAACACTCCCGCCACAAGAAGGCAGTGAGTAGGACTTCCCTGGCAGAGGCTGTATACACGTGGCCGTGAGAGGGCATTTCGAGAGGAAGGGCGGGCCCACCTCACTCCCCGCCATACCAGGGCATTTGGGGTGCATATGTATTTGGTGCTTTCCTGTACCAATATTTATGTGTTCAAATAAATAAATAAATAACCTGTGATAAAATACAAGATCTACACTGAGTGCTAAAGATTCTATCAGAGATTATCTGTTTAATTATTGATTAAATTTGTAATTAATTATGACTCGTTTCTTGAAATAAGATGATCAATTCTTGTATAAGTATCTTCTTCAGAAGGAAATTCCTTGATATAGAAATAGATCAAACTATGATGTATTTTATTTATTTAAACATGTGAACATTGGTACAAGGAGGCACCCAATAGATATGCGTCACATAAACCATTCGATTTGTGTAAGGGATGGGATACTAACCGGGCGCCGCAACTGAAGCAGGTGATTTTATTAGGAGACCATGTCCGGAGACTTCGACTAAAATGTCTAATCCACAAGACAGTGGAGCAATGTAAGAAGATGCAGTCTCATGGTAGCCAGTGACCAACAATAAGTTCATATGTACAGGATACCTAAATGAACCCTCCATATCCACCAGACTGGTTAAAGCACTGAACATTCGATTTTCGTCTTCTCAATTTCGTAAAGAACACCCATGCCTCGAGAAAGCGGCGAGTAGGACTTCCCTGATAGTGGTTGTATGCACAAGGTCATGTGAGAGCATTTAGAGAGAGAGAGAGGGAAGGAGGGAGAACTGACTTTCCACAACTCCAGCCGTCGACCACTATTATCTAATCCACTCTGTCCTGGGCATTCCTTTCTAGTTCAATTCAATTGTTGTTCGTTCTTCTCATGTCTGTCTCCATTTCTCGACGTAATGTGTTCTTTCGTCTTTCTCTCCTCCTTCGACCTTGAGGATTCCACATAAGGGTTTGTCTTGTAACGCAGTTGGATGCTTTCATCAATGTGTGTCCTATCCACTTGTAGCACTTCTTCCTGATTTTTTCCTCCATTGTGATCTGGTTTGTTCTCTCACACAGTAGGTTGTTACTGATAGTGTCTGTCTAACGGATTCAAAGTATTTTGCGTAGACGACTGTTAATAAACACTTGTATTCCATAAATGATGGCTTTCATAGTTCTGGAAATTTCCGCCCCGTATAGTAGAACTTTTTTGACACAAGTACTATATGAAAGTAAGAAGCTATGATTTAAGATAAATATGTACAAGGAAATATCTGTTCAGGGTTGTGAAAATCATTGAGTTTAGATTGATATCATGAATAATAAATCGATGTTAGAACATCATTAAAAGCCTGGATGGACGTGATGGCCCTTTCGTCGAAATATGGGACTCCTCAGCAGTGATCTGCGACCCCGTACAAGGGAATCGAACCCAGGGCGTTTGGTCTCGCGCGGGAACAATAGTGAATGGTAGCACAATTTCGTGGATTGGTTGAGATTAAACATTAACTCCGATGGGTGTTGGCTCAGTGGTCTAGAGGTTAAGCGTTCGCGTGCGAGATCGAAGGTCCCGGGTTCGAGTCCCTTGCGCGGGGTCGTAGATACATCGCTAAGGAGTCCCATACGAGAGCTTAGCGGTCGTCCAGTGATTCCAGACTTTCTTCTTCTTTCAAATCCATTATCACTGAATATCTTATAGGGATGAAATTATGGAAGAACTATTGTTCGCGTTTTATTGATATGAAGTGATCGTATGTGAAATGTATTATCCTTTTTTCATCATTCTCTACTTCAACAGCTTACTTATTGTTTAGTAGATCATTAATAAAATGGTTGCTTTTGCGGATTCGCTGTAAAACAATGTGGATTGAAATGAAATTTGATTGATTCACGTATTATATGAAATCTATCTAGCACTTAGTACATTTAAAACTATCAGTTTTACTATATAATAACAAAAAAATATTGGGTGATGACTAGCAGCAGGATCTAGGACGCGCGTTTCGTCCAGCCTAATGTACATGCATCGCAGAATTGATTTTCACTCTAAGACTCGAAAGCAGTACCGTTCGCTTTAAACAAACTGTATCAATTGAATTTTTAAAAAAGATATATTTTCAGAAGGGATTTGTGGAGATTTTTAGAAATTTCATAGAATGAAATCTTGAGTCAGTTGAAGCTAGATCACCATGGAAAACCTAGAAGCACTGAATGGCCGTTTCGTCCTAGTGCGAGACTCCCCAGCGGTGCACACCAATTACCCTGCATCCCGCGAGACCCGAACCCAAGACATACTGGTTTCGCGCGCGAGCACTTAACCATTAGACCACTAAGCCGGCTGGCATCCGACGGTGTTAATGTCTAGCTTCAACCAATCCACGAAGTTGCGCCACCGTACACCATTGTCTTCAGTGAGTTGATATCTCACAACAGACCTGGTTGAACTCCACTGGTAACGGCTTTTCACTAGAACTCCATGAGTATCTCTTGAAGTCAGTCACTAGTGAGTAGATGGTTATTATCAGAAGGGATTTGTGGAGATGTTCTAAGCATTGTACAATAATATTTCCCTAACTTATTTTATGTTGGAAGTTTTCCTTAATTCTCATTTATTCGTCCCTCGGCAAGATTACAATTTATGAACTAACCAATCAGATATAAGATGATAGGTTTTGGATTTTGGTGCGAAATTCATTCATCCATTTGGCTAAATAGCATCTTGGCAGTTTAGCTGATGTCAGTTCGTGGTGAAAAACCGTGATTGTAATTCTTAGCCCTAATCATCAACTGTTGATGATGATCCTTATTCTTCAAACTGCTTTATAACCTTCATTTAGTCCTAGTAAGTAAATGGACATTCTTAAGGTCATTCTAGAGTCATTCAAAGGTCATCCCTAAATTATAGTCTCACCATTTAAAAAAATTATTCACGAATCAATATCCATCTATTCAAGATAAATCTAATAACATTCTATAGATATCTGTGTGTGTGTGTGGATACTCTTAGTTTAAGCAAACTTCTATAAGGAAATAACATTTTATTATAATCCATAATAATAAACTATACTATAACAGACTAACTGAATTCATGAGTTAATTCAAGCTAGGTCACTATGGGAGACCTGGAAACACTGAACGGCTGTTTCATCCGTTAGTATGAGATTCCTCAGCAGCGCGCACTCACGATCCCGCATGGTGTGATTCGAACTCAGGACTTATTAATCCTCCGTCAGAGAGCTTAACCTCTAGACCAATGAGCTAACCGACATCCAACGGTGTTAATCTCATTAATCATGGATATGCACTGGTAAGGCAGTGTCATATTAGAATAAAACAGCCGTCCAATGCTTCCAGACTTTCCACGGTGGTCTAACAACAATCGATTCATGAATTCAGCTATTAAATTACTATAATATTTACAAAAAAACACACCCCCTCTCTGATTCTACTGTCACTAACTCAACATAACAATTTCGATCACTCTTACCTGTCCTTTGCTCAACCACGACGGATGGTACTCTGTTATACAATGATGAACTTGTTGAATTGTACACCCTATATAACTGGCTCTACAGGAGCAGTTTAATCGATAAATACATATGAATTTGGCGAATTCAGGCAATCTGTCTTTATTGGCCATTCTTATTGTGGAGTATTGGCAGAAGATAGCACTTAGTCTAGCTGCATTAAATGTTTTTTGTACTACTTTTCTAAGTCTCTCAGTCACAATTTCTTCAGTAGTGTCATTTACGAATTGTAATTTTATGAACAATACTTTCTTCGAAACGGTAAATATCTTTGTCCTTCTTTTCATCTCTTTCTTATGTTTGTCGATCAATTTTATTGAGTACCCATTCTTACTTAAGTAAGTTATGAATATTAACCAATTCATTTACAATAATGTCATCTGAACAAATCATTCTAACATGATGAATCAAGATCTTTATCAAATTCCTTTTGTATCCATGATGGTCTAACAATAATTGATTCATGAATTCAACTATTAAATTACTATTGTAGATCACCAACGTAGATGATCCATGTCGTAATGATTGGAGGCCTATTCGAGTTAGACGTGAATGGTGTGACAAACTAGCTAACGTCGAAGTCACACCTCGTGATCAGCACCTTACGTGAACTATCCCATTGACGTATCAAGGTACCATAGGTACTTTGAAGACTGTATAACACAGAGGACGTTATTACAGAAATATATTAGTTAAAGTAGATACAAGCGAAAGTAAGACCACTGCCGCATGGGCTAGTCCATGGCATACGATTAACTGATGCGCATTGGTTGTCCCTGACCTTGACGAGGATTGATGATTTACTCGATAATCAATGACCCCACTACCGGATGATTTGCCTAGGGCTTAGTGACATTTCGCTGGCCCTACACTATAATATTTACAAAATACACCCCCCTCTCTCTCTCTGATTCTACTGTAACTTATTCAACATAACAATTTTGTATACAATAGATAACATTTCTTTACAGTAAAACAAAAAACAAAAAAAAATGAACATTGAACCAAGTTATAATGATGAATGATAATAATACTTTATTGAATGACATCGATGAAAGGGGTTGATATGAACTATTGAATATTATTCAATTAATGTTTACTAAATGCATCCATGTTTGTTTATTTAGTTGAGTATGGTTTTATTGGTAGTATTAGTAATACTAATAATGGTACTAATGGTACGAATGGTAATGAATGGTAATCTTCCCAATGAAATTACACATAAAGATGATCATAATTAAGTATACAAATGGATTTTGAATGTATTTGTTTTTATTTAGAAAATGTGTACTCTCATAGTATATTATTGATTATGTAATAGATGATGATGATGATGATAATGGTGATGATAATGATGATCATGATCATGATAGTCATTCAATGAATTCTATTCAAATTGTATAATTCATCTAAAAGCTAAACAACAGAATTGTTTCCATTTAGAAAACAGAAACAAAAACAACAACAACAACAACAACAATAACCATAACAACAACATGTTTTAAAGTAAAAAAAAAAGAAGATAACGGGGGGATGGATTAATTAATTGATCGATCGATTGATAAAGAATGAATAAGTAATCGATTTTTGTATTACAAATGCATGAATAATTGATCATAATATCGACTTCATTATATTTGATTGAGAAACTCTATAAGAGGTAAAAAAGTTTCAAGTATCTGAGGGACAAAATATTTCAAGAATGAATTGATTGATTGATTGATTGATTGATTAAGAATAAATGATTGCTTTTGATTAATCATGAGTAGCAACATATTTCAAGAAGGAAGATAAAGAGGGATTGATCGATCGGTTAATAAACAATGAATGAGTGAGTTATCGATTTTTGCATCATTAAGATAATGTCAACTACATTAATAATGGATCATAACATCAACTTCATTATATTTGATTGAGAAACTATTACAAATGTAGAAAATTTTACGTATCTGAGTAGTAACATTTATTGAGAAAGAAGATAAGACGGAATTGATCGATCGATTAACAAAGAATAAATAAGTAATCGATTTTTTACATGCATAAGATCATTACAAATGCATTAATAACATCAAATTCATTATATTTGATTGTTAAACTCTATAAGAGGTGAAAAGTTTCAAGTATCTCAATAGCAACATATTATCAAGAAAGAACATAAGAAGGAATTGATCGATCGATCGATTAATCGATTAACAATCAATGATTAATCTTGATTAAATTTGATTAACAACAGAATTGTTTCGATTTAGAAAAATTTAAAAAAAAAACACATTATAATCATAACAACAAGATGTTTCAAAATAAAAAAAGAAGATAACGGGGGGATGGATTGATTAATTGATCGATCGATTGATATAAAATGAATAATTGATCGATTTTTACATGCATAAGATCATTACAAATGCATTAATAACATCAAATTCATTATATTTGATTGTTAAACTCTATAAGAGGTGAAAAGTTTCAAGTATCTCAATAGCAACATATATCAAGAAAGAACATAAGAAGGAATTGATTGATTGATTGATTGATTGATCGATCGATCGATCGATCGATCGGTTAATCGATAAGCAACAAATGATTGATGTTGATTAATCATGAGTAGTAACATATATCAAGAACAAACATAAGGAGGAATCGACTGATTGATTGATCGATCGATCGATTAATCGATAAACAATCAATAATTGATCATGATTAAATTTGATTAACAATAATTAAAAAATAACACCAATAAAAACAATTATATAATACAAAACATGCTGGAAATAAAAATCTACTATATGTATCAATTTCTGATTCAATTAAACCAGGTGGTCGTTTTGGTTTTGTTTTATCTTTATAATCATCAATAAATTGATTAGTTAATAAATGTTCTAATTCTTCACGAAATTCTAATTGTCCTTTCATTAATTGATTAGAATTTTGTAATTGTATTAATTGTTGTTGTTGACATATAGCACACCATCTAGCTAATTCTTCACGTACTATCTCTTTAACATCTTCATGCCATGTTTCAGATTGTTTACGTCTTAATATAGTTAATGCTATAGCATATTCAACTAATACACCAATAACAAATATAATAGAAAATATCATCCATATATCAATAGCTTTAATATATGATACACGTGGTAATGTTGATGATACACTTATAGCTTGTGTTAATATACCAAGTAAACTTAATAAACCTAATGGTACACGTGCTGGTGCTGAATCAACATTTACCCAAAAACTTAACCATGATACCATAATAATTAATACATTTGGTATATATGTTGTTGCTAAATAACTACCTAATTGTCTTTGTAATTCAAATGTTGCATTTAAACATGTATATTGTCCTGTTGATGTAGAATAACCCGATGAACAATCATTTGTAATAAATTGTTTTGGTGTTTCAAATTCAGATAATTGTAATTTATCAGCTAATTCAACTGGTTTATTATGATTCCATACAAATTTTAATTCATTTAATGTATAACCATAACTACCAATATTAATATGACAATGTTGATTATCCATTGGAAATGTTTGTAAATGCATTTGACATGAAAATCTCATTGTAATTTTTTGACTATATAATACATTACCATTTGGATGTACACGTAATAAATAATTTGGTAATGTTAATTTATGTAAATAACCATCTTTACCATTACGAAAAAATAAATCTGGTAACCATAATTGTTCTTTTAATTTAGGTGATACTAATGGTTCATTAAATTTTGAAAATTCTGGTATATCATACCATGATAAACGACGATCACGCCATACTTGTCTTAATAATAAATCTATATAATAATCCATTGTACGTACATCAATTGAAAAGATAGCTAATACTTTCATATTAACTGTTACTATAGTTGCATTACCACCATCTGGTGGACGTTCATAACTTCGATATTTTGACATAATTAAATTTACTATACGATCTCTCATAGATGTTTTTGTATAAATTTCTTCTTTAAATTGATTTTCTTTATTTTGATTCATTAATTCTGTATTATTGATTAAATTCTGTATTGTTGTTGGTGTTGGTGGTGGTGGTGGTGGTAAATAATTTGGATCATTATGATCTGGATCATAAATTTTTATATATGGTCTATTTGGTTGATTTATCATAGATATACTATCAATATTTTGATTAGTTTGTTTATATAATGAATTTATATTACGATTAGATGGTTTCATAGATAATTGATTAGAATATGGGATATTACAGGTTACATCATAGAAGATGGTTACTAAGTGAAATAGAATTAATATACATTGAATCATTATTCTATTGAATTTCATGTGTATAATCATTTAAAGGATTATTTTATCATTATTATTCTATGAATATAATTTTTCCTCATTGAATGAGTATATCTAATCCACTAAGGAAATAATGCCTATACAATCAATATATATATATGAGGTATATAGATGTATACCTATATACTTGGATACATACATAGGTACGCACCCCCACACACATACATACACATTAAAGCATATGTACATCTATCAGTAATATATTCTTTACATTTGAGTAGATAGGACTGTAATCATATTAGATAGGTAGGAAAATAGGTAAACTTAACCAGGTAACAAAATAACCAATCAAATTTAAGATTAAAAAAAAACAAAAAAATATATATCTGCTTACCTGTGATTGGTTAGATTATTCATAAATAAGAATCATCATAATTAAATAATCCACACAACAAAAAAAATTAACCAATCAAAAATAATCTAATTTACTCAATTGTTTTCTTTTTAAAATAAAGAAAAAAAAATTTTTTTTTATTATTTTTTTACAATAATTTTCTTTTTGATTGAGATCATGCTAGAGTTGAAATGATTACGAGTTCATTTAATCTGCAAAGAAGAAACAAGATTCGATGATCAAAGACCAGTAATTTAGTTATTGATGCATCGTCCCAACTCCGCTAACTAGAGGGAGAATTCCAAGGTTGGAATGGGGGAAGTATATTCTGCAAAACAGCCAGAAACGAGCGATAACAACAAACACAATTCAAAACGTATATATATACAGTACAAAACAATCTTTTAGGAGAGTTACCAAATAGCATACTAAAAGACGGAACGGACCAATAGTATTTAAGATATTTCCCAGTGGAAAATACAACATGAAGATGACAAGAGCGCCTTTGGCGCGAAAACAATGACGTTCGAATTTTCTAAATAAAATTACAAAATTAGGTCCTTTCCCAAATGAGTTCTGGGGATCTAACGACCCCAAAAGATCATGAACCGATTGATGTTAGACCACCGTTTAAAATCCGTAAGCACTGGACGGCCGTCTCGTCCTATTGTGGAACTCCTCAGCAGTGAGTAACCACGATTTGAACCTATGGCCTTCAGTCTCGCGCATGAACGCTTAACCTACTGGACCACTGAGCTGGTATCCAGTTGCGTTAGTGTCTAACATCAATCAATCCACGAAATTGCTAGATCATCTTCCATTGTACTGAGGTAGATACCTGTCTCTACCCGATACGGATTAGCTCCGCTGATCGCGGGTTCTCACTAGAAGTTCGAGAATTTTCTCATGAAGCTAATCACTAGTGATCACATGTGAATCATCAGTACAGGGGTTGTGGAGATTATTATGTTTTTGATTTAGATCATAAACCGATTAATCCTGCGAGTGGGATCATAGATGCGCACTGCTGAGGAGTTCCACAATAGGACGAGACGGCCGTCCAGTGCTTGCGGATTTTAAACGGTGGTCTAACATCAATCATTTCATTATCTCAACCAAAAACTTAATAATCTCCACAACCCATATACTGATAATTTTTCGTTTTTCAGGTATCAAATGAAAATTAATTGATTAGAGAAAGAAAAATGGGCGATTCAGTGAACTGTAGAAAAAGTGGAAATATTCACGCGATAAAAGAGCACATTGGTCCGTATCAGTTTGTTTACCGATGACATAAAAGCTCCGTAGATGCCGTTACTGTTTTGCATAACAATATACTGTTCAACTTGGAAAAGGGTAGGAATATGTTTGATGCAATTTTCTGGACTATACTTATGCTTAACAAGTTAATCAGCGTCAACACTGACAGCTGGATAACCAACTGGCTATGATCCTACCTCTCTGGAAGGGAACAGTACACTGCGTTTGGAGGAAAGTGTTCAGAGTCTCTACTGTCTCATGAAGGTGTACCATAAGGAGCTGTTCTTTCACCTCTTTTTTTCTCTTTTTTTCTGCATGATCTGCCATCTTCCACAGAAAACACTTTTTTGAAATATGCGGATGATCTCACTGTATGTATGCCTATCTCTTTCTCTTTACATCCCATTGAAATGAATGAGTTTTTGTCTCGTATTGATTGTTGGTCTGTTGTTAATGGTCTCATACTTAATCCGTGTAAGTATCAAACCGTTAACTTTAGCATGAGACGTGGACGGAATATAAACACCATTATGAGATCCCATAATGCCATTGGAGACTCTTAGATAAACACAGTGTCGAAGGTCAATTATCTTAGTGTTACCTTCTCCTCTGATCTCTCTTGGTCTGTTACTGTTATCGAAGAAGGTTTTCCGTCTTACTACATAAAGAGATTGCATGCTCTTGGGATTACTCGTCATTTACTCTTACAATTTGTCAATTCTTGCATATTACCTATTATACTTTACTGTTCTCCATTATTCTTTCCCAGGATTTTGAGAAAAGACTGCTGTATTGCGGAGAGTGCTGAAGGCAGTTAGCAATATATGTGGTGAATCCTTCGAGGTCATAACTAATATGGTGGTGGATAGACATCTAAAGTCATGCAAAATCCTGGCAGGTGTTATTTTATCAGATAGTAACCATTCCCTCCACTTTTATCTTTCTTCTTGTATATCTTCTTCTGGTTGAACGAGACGTAATTACATTAAAATCCATGCACGCAAGGAAAAGTATAAAAGTTCTATAATACCTTACCTAGCAAATGTACTCTGTGACGAACGGGATGTTAGAGTTAACCTAGTCAATAACCTACATTCTTAACCATGTCTCTAATTTGGTAAGTTGTACAGTTTTCCGGGTTATTTTTTTAAACTTTTTTTTGTATTTGTTACTGTTTTTTTTGCATAAGTAACTTGTTGAAATACCCTGTGCTGAGAATTCTATATTGTACCAAAATATAATACAGAATAAAGCCATTAATAATAATAATACTAACAATAATAATAATAATAATAATAATAATAATAATAATAATAATAATGTAAGTTATAAGGAAGAGATAAGAAATGTATGAAAAAAAGGCGAAATATGTGAACAATCGATTAGTTAGTCTGTTAAGTCTTATCGGATGAAGGCAAAGACATAGGTGTTGCTAACTGCTTTCAAATGCTGTTAAAAAGTGAACATTATAAGGTTGGTCATTCGAATCAGTTAAGCAAGGGTGACTAAATATGAGTTATCTTGACTCGTTCCAAATCACATAGAAAGGTGCCCACACATTCATTTAACCGATTAAAACTGGACATTTGTCGGCACTAATGCTTCTATCAATGGTATATGTGTTCCTATTTACTAATCATAGAAACATTTTGTTATCTTCTAAAGAATTTCCCAACTCATATTATGTAGTAATTTTTAGGTAAATTTGCTATGAGCCTTGTAGTGAAGTTTAGGATACGCGTTTCATCCTATTTAGGACTCGTTAGTCTGTGATGTACTAACGTTCTAGTCTCTTGGACTTGAACCCAGTACCTACCTTTAGCTTCAAATATCCCAAGATTTTATTAACTGAGCTAATCAATCTAGTTAGCTTATTATAACCAGTCAAGTAGATATGCATGTAAACATTGATAAATTGCATAATTACACTAATAATTCACTGTCCATTTCTTTTCTGGGTCATACATTTCATCACAACAATAAGTGACATTTATTCTGTCACTTAATCAAATTCAATAAAGATATGTTGGTCCTTTATTAATTAACTTTATTATTATTATTATTATCAGTAGTAGTAATATCAGTAGTATCAATAATATTAGTAGTATTCTTAATTTTAATTATATTATCATTTACCCCCCCCCCCCCACATTCATTTCTATCTAATTCATTCATTCATTTCTTATTATCTATTGTTCAACTGAGTTCTTCCATTAGCTCATTCATAACACGCACACACACACACATATGCACATGCACATTCATACTGATACATGTCAGTATCTGTGTTAACACAAATAATTAAAATGGGATAATTTTCTTTTAATTAATTCTCCGTTAGATACGTTTTCTCTTAAAATATCTGTGAATTATTAAGTTGGAAGAAACATTATTATTATTATTGAAACCAGGTTATGTGAATTAGTGTTATGTAGACTCAGAGCTGATGGCTTTATACGCATAGGTAGGTATATATGTAAGTATATACATACCCTGGTCATGTCAATCTGTGTATCTATGGATAGATTGTCGATATGATTAGTTCATTCCATATAATCAATCATTCTGAATGTTGTTGTTGTTGTTGTCGTCATCGTCATTTTATTGACGTGATTTTTAATTTATCTACTTATATTCATCAGATAACGTGTTGGTGTGTGTGTACGTGTGTGTGTATGTGTGTCCATGTAATTTGTTGTTCCACTGAAATTTGTTTACATTTTGTTTAACTAAAAAATTTAATGGGAAATTTTATTTGTTTTTTTTATACTCAGCAACGTGTATATTCAATGATTCCATTTACTTGAATCTATGATTATTTCTCTGAAAAAAGCAGATCAATACTACTTACTTATTAATCTAGTAATCTGCATCTATAACAACATTGCTCAAATCAATAATCAATAACTTAATAGACTGATGTTATATTTTTTTGATTTGTTCCTCTTTAGTTTTCTTTCAATATATTCCTACATCAGAGAATATTATATGTCGACTAAGATATTGTGTTATGTATAGGTAGGTAGAAAAAACTATCCCAACGACATCATTCAGGTGAAGATTCCAAAAATGCAACAGTCGATTTGTTCATTTACCCATTAATCTCCCTCTAACCTCAGTACTACTTACTCATTCGTTCTAACATATATGAACAGAACTATCAATGCAACTATGATCAAATAACAATGACCTACATATATTCTCTGTTTACTAAAAGCCTCGTTTCACAACCATGAACGGAAGAGTTATGAATTACTGTGTATCATACTTTTTCTTTGGTCGGCTTACGAACGTCATCGACATTTTCCAGAGTTATATTTCTACTCTCCAAAGATCACCGATTATTCCACATTTTGTTCAATATAATCAATACAAGTAGCATAGATCAGTGGTGACATCTCAAACCTTGATTACAATCTTGTCAATTAAACCAAAATCGACAGTTACTTATTGTTCATAAGCTAAGCTCAATACTGCACCCCAAATACAATCGATCATATCAGAGTTAAATATGCACATAAATACTATCAGGGTTAAGTGAGTAGAACATTGCAATTCCAACTAATTGTTCTCAATTTCAAGGCCAATCACACCTACTTCAATTAGAACAATCGATCGGTA